TCTAGCAACTTTGTTCAGCGACTAATTACAGTAAACAGACGCAATACGCCCACACTAAGCTTAGCAATTATACTTACCTGTAGCCGTAGTGTAAGTAGTATATACCTCAGACCACAGAGTAGTTTAGGTTAATGTTATAAAAAAAAACTCACTAAAAGTTAAGCTATTTTGATCAACTGATGTTATTAGTTAGTGAGGCCAAAGCTGCAATGAGAGTTGCTATTGCTATTGTAGAGATCCAGCCGCAACCCGAAACTTCAATTTCCTGCCCTATAATGCTTTTGTAAGTTACTGCATGAACAACACAATACTACACTGATTTAAAATTATCTGCTGTAAAATGGAGTATTTTCCTTTTTTGCGGTTGTATAACAAAAATAAAGATTTTAACTCGTTAAGTATTATTTTTATAATGCAACGCGAAATTTTAAAGTGTATTTAAAATAAAGGAACTGAACTAATAGGTTCAGTTTGATGTCCGTCCGTTAACTCTTTTCTTTTAAGCAATCAAAATATACAGCCACATATTATAATCTCAAAGGAATAGGGTAAGATATACCATGTTCTTTATGTGTATGCAGACGAACGAGCTGACAGTCTACCTGATTGTATGTGGTTGTTGCCGCCACTCATGCGTTGCCGATTCTGAAGGAAAAGGTTTACCTACCTTGAAGACGAAGCAATATCATAGCATGTAGTACATAATAATAATTAAAATAATTAAAAATATCACAGATCTCGTGCTCTACATGACTTAAAATAAATGTACCTATCATAGATTATTATTAAAAATTTAAAAAAAAATACATTTTTTTTCCAAACCAACTTTTCTGAAATATTTTTACATCGTCTTAAAGCCCTTCGAATTCCGCGTCTTTTGCACTTTCATACAACATCGTGGCCGCACGCTAACCACCCGCCGCGTGATATCGCAACGCACAAAACTCGTGGCTTAAGGGTACCTCTACAGCTTCAACCGTCACCAATATCGAAAAAAGTGTAATGACCTAAAATGTTCCTTGGTTCAAAACCGAGATCTTCTATTTTCATGTTTTTGAAATTCGGCCCCGTCCTCGAGATATCGGAAATTTTCTGTGAAAATACACGATTTTTCGGGCGAAAAAAGTAGTTTTTTATTCGATTTCCAAAAAAGATTTTGACTTTTCCAAATTTTTTCCGTCTTTTGAGCCCTTATATGTCCTCGTAGCCCTTGACCTCGGGGTATCACGGGCGAGTCGCACTTTCAGCGAAAATAGGAGCCTACTGGAGCGGACGAAAAAACATTTTCAATGTTAAGAAATCGGTAACATTTTTGGTAAAAAAAGAGGAAAGATCTTTGAGACTTGATTCTTGTGATTAATTTAGATACCTACGATTACAAATTTGCGTGGAACGGTGCGCGAGTCCGATTTACACTTGTTTATTTTAATTAACTCCACCACCCTAAAGTCAACTATAACCGGAGTTAATTTCGAGTCGAGGACAGTCGATGCAGCAGACGGATATATTTATAACACGATCCAACCTTACTTTGCTGGCCTGAACCCAATCCCGCACTTCTGGGGTAATTCCCGGGAAGGGTGTTTAATCAAGCAAAGAATTATCTAAGCCCATTCTCTTTTGAAAAAGGATATTCTTACGTTCTGTTAAATTATTATCATTTGTTATCTATAGCAAAACTTCAGCCTTAGTGGTTTCTCTTTTGTTTGAATTAATGTGAGTTCTCAGATTACACTTAATTATCTTTGTACACGAAAGGGATTCCCATAATTTCAGACTGGATAGTGTCATGCTTGGTTTCAGTTAATTGTAATGGTAATGATACTGTTCACTTACCAACAAGGCCGCAACACGAATGAATTTACGCACAGAAGTATAGAATAAAAAAACGACGGGTTGCACTCCGGGAGTGCCGGCAGAAGTGAAAACTTGAATATTAACGTTGTGCATTTTTGATACTTTGGAATTGCTTTAATTATCAGTATAAAAGTACTATTATGTATATGGTAGCACACAATATTTAATTATTGCGCTATCGTACACAAACATGTTAATCTATATAACATTAAAAAAGTTTATCTCTCAGAAGAACAACTTACATGAATCACGTTTAAGCGCACCTAGCGACATCTATTGTAAAGAAATGAACTTACATGAATCACATTTAAGCGCACCTAGCGACAACTATTGTAAAAAAATGTATTTTCTTCGCAATAAAGCTGCCACGTGGACATCCTAGATAGAGACTTATTATTATAATACGATTAAAAAAATTATTACTATGTTTCGTCCAATATATTGAAAGTCAACCGCCTTTCCAATTTTATTGTGTGTCATGATGCAATCAGCCCACGTGTTTAACCTGACGCGAGTTTAACATTTTTTACCCATACAGAGTTTAGAGTACAACGCCGCTAAAGAAGTTTTCACTTCAATAAAAAATGTGTGCGTGTACTAGTGTACACACGTAAGAAGTGAAACTTCTTTATGGCCTTATTTTTCGAAAAATGATCTACATGCAACTTTCCAGAAATTGGTTAAATAAAGTTAAATTAGATAAAGTTTAAACAAAAGGATTTTATTATCATAGACATGAATACAAATTACTGCCTATGAAACTGTTATGATTACACGGCTCAGTAATCTAAGGCACATGTTCCACCTCCGACGATGAACGATAAGCGAGTAGAAACTAGAAACGAATTGGCAGTCCTGAGTTAAAATGCACGCGCACGGCTTTTCGCTGAGCTAGTATCGCTGAGCGAGAATCGCTGAGCGAGTACCGCTGGGCGAGTATCGCTGAGCGAGTATCGCTGAGCGAGTACCGCTGAGCGAGTACCGCTGAGCGAGTACCGCTGAGCGAGTATCGCTGAGCGAGTATCGCTGAGCGAGTATCGCTATGCGAGTTTGGCTGAGCGAGTCTTATCTTTAATAACTATTGTCACTCAGCTACAAACGAGTAGAGAGAGTTCTCGCCGGCGACAGTGTGATCATTCAGCTATCAACTATTAATATAAAAAAAGATGGCGCGTAACGGAAAAATGTGACGCGTAACCGAAAAATGTGACGGTTAATTTTTTTCCAACGCCGATAAAGAAGTTTCACTTCAAAAACGTTAACCAACACGGACACAATCATATCAGCTTATGCTTCTCCTAAACCTTCACGACGAAGCTTTGGTACTATAAAAACTTAAATTGTGCTAAAATTTTCGATCGAAATTTAAATATTTTCATCGTTATCGGCTCCTTCTGCACATACAAATTTGTCGTCTCTCACAACCTCTTTTATGCGTGGCAAAAATCCCCAGTCAAGCTATCGTCTAGCGTCTGTAGACACACTGTTCGATAATTCATTACAATGGAATTAAATTCAAATTTAGAACGCATTTAGTAAACCCAACCAGTTACCAAGTTTCGTCGCGCAGGTGCGGGGGAAGCGTTATGCAATAAGTTATGTAAAACTGTAATATGTACGTACGATGATGATCCATTGCATATATGTACATTGGGCCTGCAATCGTTGAAGTAATGCAATGGTTGGTCACATGACGGATGATCAAACATCAAACACCTCGAGCTCCTTCGTATTCGTTAAAGGGACGTTAAGCTGTTAGTCCCGGCTATAACTGCAGTCGTTAGCACTCTTCATTCCGTACTGGGCACGGATGGTGGGTCTTGGCCTACTTTCCCTTTGCCCCATTATACCCTCATGGGCATTCTATTCTATTAGTATGCGAATCAATATCATGCTTATGTTTGAAGTTATAACAATATCGAACTTTTGTGTACCCAGCTTTTTTCAAATGTGCCAAAACGTGTTTTGTGGTCGATTCCCAGTTCTTCAGCTACGTCGTAACTACTGATCCGATCTTGATCCACTTGTTCAAAAGTGGCATCCATTTTATCCGTAACAGGGCGACCAGAGCGACGAGCATCTTTGTTATCAAAATATTACAGTAAGAAAAATAAATAAAAATCACACATTTTTCTAATTGGCATTAAGAATTATCTTTTTTAAATTTAAACTTTTGTATGATACCAAAACCAGCCAGATAAAAATTGTAAAGTCAAAGAGATTTTATTAATAGTTCGTACATATTATAATGCGAAAAGACTTTTTCGCCAACCTATTATGTATATTCAAGTTTTGGCCGATCAGGTTTATCTTTCTATGATTTCCGTAGCTTAATTCAATTAATCTACAGATGCACATTACCATAATATACTATCGCTATTACCATTAATTTAATTAATTTTTAATCGCAATTTTTATGTGGTATAATTGGATAATAAATTCATTTTATATTTTTAAAGAATTGCGGGAATTTTTCTACAAAAAAATGTATGTAATGATGATAATACTTGAAGTATACGATTGGGCTCTGCCGGGATTGTATGGAGAAAATTGTCGGGATGAAGTTCCAAATTATATGCCAGTTCACGCTTGACAGTTCTTTATTTACCACACAGTTCACACGATTAACAAACAATGTTAATTACAAAACACTCACTAAACACTGTATTTCACAATTCTCTAAACAATCGCACTTGAATACTTTTGTTGCACTTTGATCGAATTTGGATTCGCTCCGAAATCGCTGTTGAAACTCAACTGTCTCTGCGCGGTGCCAATCGCGCTTATATACGCCGATCGACGAATTCTGGAAAGTACCTGTTAAATTGAGAGTTAGCTAGCACTCGCGAGTACGTTGTACCTACTTATACCTACGCAGGTAACGCGCATAAATAAAACAAGTACAGATGTCGTTGCACTTCTCCCTTACGCTGCACTGCATAAGGCTCATTTTAGAATGAGCCGCATTACTCAACCCACTATCGTGACCCGCGGTGCTCTGGCACATTCGATCCCTAGCACTTTCGCGGTTCCGTTTCGAGAGCGTATGTGATAGTATAAAAAGTGCTTTACTAAACTTTTGGTGTAGGTGTACATTGTAAGGGATTTATTAGTAATTACAACATTGAGTACAATTTTATTAAGAGTATTTATTGAATTTCTATAGAGTGGAGGGAGTTGGAAACGTTGTTTTTTCTAGAGAGCGAAGTCTGACATGGCAACGTTCTTTTCTGATACCCATCTGTAACAGACAAAATATTTCTATGCAATATTTGGTGCAATATGACGTTTCACTATATTACGGAATAAAAAAAAGATATACTCATAATTTGCGTATGTGTGTGTAGTACACAAATAAAGAAATTAAGACCCACATGTACCAAAGTTCTTAATTCAAATTAAGGGATAATCGTATTTGGTTGGTACATTATTACATCTTTATTATTTCTTTAAGTCAAATAGAGAGATGAAATGCGCGCTTAGACGTTAGAAGGTTTTAAATTTGAATTAAGAACTTTGTAGCAAGTAGGCCTTAAGGCCACCATAGAAGATACAAGTAATTTAATCAAACGGTTTCAGAAATAAAATTCATATTCATAATTCTATTTAATGAAATCCAGCTCGCAAAATAGTAAAACTCGATATCCTAGTATAAAATAATTTTAAATACCTTAACCAGATTCAGAAGTTTTCAAAACTCCAAAGAGAATTATAAGAAGCGCACAACATACATAATCGGCGTAGCATATTAACTGCTCTGCTTACCTACAGAAACAGCCCCGGATTCTGATGATAACAAAATCGGTCCCGTTATCGTTGTCAGAACAGAACCCAAAGAGGACGTTAAAATAATAGCGATAACGATTATATTCGAGTGCTGCGCCGCTATACGCTTGTCTCGAAATGTCGCATCTTGCCACAGAGAATCTGACGCCACTCGAACTAACACCGCCTGTAAAATGAAAACGATCGTTATCTCTTTGTTTTTGTTTACTCATGGTAGGAAAAATTAAATAAAGATAGACACCGTCTTAAATTAACACCATAATTATCTTTATGACTTAATGTGATTTTTAGGACTCCTCAGTTTTTTTTCCTTTAAGTTAAAGGAAAAAAACTGAGTCAATTGCTAGTCGGACTCGCGCATCGAGGGTGCTGTACAAACTTTTATGTATCTAAATGGTAAACATAGTTCGTACATAATATTATTTAAAACATGTAGAAATATTTATTTCAAGTTGAAGCATATTTTTTCCTCTATTATACTATAATATTTCGCATAATCCTCACATTTAGGTACTTTCGTATTACTTTTGTCTACCAGTCATCGCTCACCATCTTATTGTCATGTGACAGTTATCAATTATTAGTATGGATGGCGTAAATTAGCCACGCAATCGTACGGAAGGAATATTCCTTCACTCAGATCATTCATAATTGAAATTTGTCAATTTATCTTTACATCTTACACACAAATAAACTCAGTGGTAGATGGTTAACTGTGGAATCAACGAGTAAAGAACAATCATTTTATCTTTAATGACAGACAAGAGACCACGTATTCTTCAAACAATGAATGTGCTTTGTTTTTTGGAAAAATAGCATTTCCGATATTTATAAATTTATCAATGTTTATCATATATACCTAAAAAGTATAGGTATGTAAACTCTCTTTCCAGTTTGTCTGTATTGACGTTAATTGAATCTAAACCATTAATATGATAAATAACATGAATATGAATTTTGATGGGCTGTTCACTATCAGTTACATATTTTTTTACGAAAGATATAAAACTTTCTGTTTCTTAGGTTTTCACGCACATCAATCATTAAATAAAACTAATTTTTAACGGGTTAATGTACGAACTTTATTTAATTACTGACGTTTTGCAGCCTTTTCAGGCCTGCTGTTTTTTTTATGAAACAAATATATAATAATAATTTATTAAAAAGGCTCCGAAACGTCAATAAATAAATAAAGTTCGTGCATTAACCCGTTAAAAACTAGTTTTATAAATTTTTTCTTCCTGAAAGGTTCAATATTTAAGAACCATAAAAGTGGTACAAATATATTTATTTATGCAATTCAAATACAATTCGATGAAATTAAATTTGGTCAAATAAATCACCCTGTGTCTTTCACGGCGCAAAGGTGCCCATTATGCTTGCAGCATTGCCACGCTGGATGGCAATTGCAACTGATTGGCAACAGCCTTTGCCTTAGAAATGACCCGGAGTGAGGGTCATCGGTTTTTTTGGTTTGAGTCGGCACCTCAGGTCCCACACAAATTGTTTGGCTTCCGTGCTCCAACAACGCGCCGTTTCCACTGCCAAAGGCACAAAAATTTAGTCCTGTTCTAGCGGGGCTACTTCAAACGCTACGACGCCGCCTTATACTCAAGTAAAAGTTGTAAAGTGTGACTATACAAGTGACTTTGAAATGGGTAAATCACTGAATTATACCATATTTCCAAAGGCGCTTTCTTCGCTACTTTGCTACGGCATCAGTTTCACTCTAACCGTTTGAAAAAGGATCAGAAAGGGAACTTTCACGGAAAATAAACTGTTCAAGATTTAGAGCTTATATTTCTCAAGTGGCCAACTACATACTTGGATGCACCAGCGAAATAAGCATTCATCTGTACCTAAAATTTTAAATTCCAACTTTAATTCTAACTTCTCAAAACTCATCTTAGGAGTTGGAATACGTAATGTTATGCAAAATATTACTTTTCAGGGATTGAGAGATGCGGCGTAAGTTTGTCCGTGCCACTGAAGTTTTGAATAAAACATGTTGTTTTATGACAAAGTTAGCAACGAATTTTTTTTATCAAGAACGTTAGATTTTCTGGCACGCTTTATTAATAGGAAGCATTCTTTACACGTTCTATAGGCAAGTTATTTGGCGAAATATTAAATGATAATATTACAATTTACACAAGTAAAAAGAGATTATGATTAATACTTATATCTTTTCTAGTTATTTCCACAGAGTAACATTTATATTTAGACACACTTTTTTACACAAGGCGAGTTTTGCAAAATATTTGTGCTCCAAATTAATTTAATGATATTAATAAAATCCTCAATGGATCCTTTGTATTTAATTCGTTGTCGCACTTTTGCCCCAAAAACACATATTTTTACGTAGTACTCAGTTTTGGCTTTTTCCCAGGGCAACTTTTATCTATTATCAGTTCGCTTAAGGAGACACTTTCCAAAATTCAAAATTGTTCATTTTCTGATAACGCTTGGGAGCTGGCCTCTCTCCCTGTTCGTTTCGGAGGACTACGTAGTCATAGTACCTACTCGCCATATTTCAGCCGTACAGCCGAGCTCTTTAATAAAATACTAGGTATGTCCTTCTTTAGGCGTACTGGAGCTGGCTCACCTTGCCGAGGCCAGGAATTCTTGGTGTGGAGCATGCCCGCGAGCAGATCCACCATCCTCCATTATGATGATTGAGTGATCTTTTAGCTTTCTCTGAAAACGCAGTTGAGCGTGCTGGCTTCCTAGCGGTCTTTCATGTAGAGTTCGTTATTTACTGAAAGTTCTTCCTTCAGCCAATATCAAGACTTTGCTGGACAGGAACACTTGATATTACACTTAGAATTGGCGTCAAGACCAATCAGCCCCACCGCTTGGTCTCTCATGCCAATGAGCGCTGTGTGAGTCTCCCGCCACGCCTACATCAATGACGTCATCCGCAGAGCTCTTGTCGCAGTCAATGTGCCAGCGGTCCTAGAGCCTAGCGGCATCTTCCGAGACGATGGCAAGAGACCTGACGGAATGACGCTAATTCCTTGGAAGCAGGGTCGTCCTCTTGTTTGTGATGCAAATTGCGCGGATACGCTTGCTCCGGGCGCGGCGGCGGCCTCTGCTGAGTGCTGCAAGCCGCGCAAATATTCTGCTCTCATAAGAACTACATATTTGTACAGTTTGATGCTAAGGCTATAGGAACTTTCTAGGAGACTCACCGAGGTGACTGGTGATCAAAAGGCTGGCAGCTACCTTGTTCAATCTTTTACTTGCTATCCATCGTGGAAATGCTGCCAGTCTATTGGGCACCATTCCTGACGGCGACGCTGGGGGTGATATATTTTTTATTTTGTAAATTATATATTATTTAAGTAGTCAATTCTGATTTCAAGTTATTAGACATTAAGTAGCTTTAAGCTTTTGTAATTTAAATATTTCAGTGTAAATATAAAAAAATTAAAATTATTAAAAGGTATATATTGTTTGTTATTTGTCACGGTATATTTTATTTAAAAACAGGCAAAATGCGAACCGTACTTACACAGATATAATTTATCTTTAATTTTTACTTTCTCGTCGTAGAATATGCATTCTTGTTGAGTGGCTATTTTTTACAATTCATTAGATTCAGTCCACTGACGGAAAAACGGACAGCTTGTTAAGCTTTGGCTAAGAAGCCGTTATCGTTTACTGTAGAAAGAAAAATCGATGCACTCCACGGTGTCGTCGATATAATAGTCGTGTAACAAGGACGGACGGCCTAAGCAAAAAGTGTCATGTATAAGAGGAATGGGTGATAAAATGGATTTAGGTTATTGCAGGTGCTTAAACTGGTACCCCAATTTAAATTTATCAAAAAACCCGCATAGTACGTAATAGTTTCCTACAATTCAAGCCGTTACCAGTGCCTATACTTTGGCACTCGGCTAATTGGTGTAAGTGTCAGAAATATTTATTTATTATACACAAAACTACACACGAAAATATGGAGTGCAAATGAAGTAATTTGGTTCAGTTTTGGAAGTAACAAAGTCTAACAATGTTGCGTATCGACTCGACACAAAAGCGTTTGTGGGCCCGATGCCTGTCATTCAAAATGATTGATGAAGCGTTTTCTAAGGTGACTCTCCCTGCGTACATTTGCGTGTCCTCGAATATGATTTATTTAAGCATATACATATAAACGACACATCTTTATAATTATAGATTATTAGTGTTCCGTGCCTCAATAAGAAAAAAACGGAATTTATATAAGATCACTTTGTTGTCCGCCTGTCTGTGTGTATGTCAAGACCCTTTATCTCGGGTAGCGTGGAGGTGTCAAGTTGAAATTTAATGAGAAATCACACATCTAAGCTATAAAAAAAGATGGTCGTTTATGTTGCGTACCTACAAAGTACGGAACCCTCGGTGGGCAAGTCCGTCTCGCACTTGTATAGTTTTTTTTGTTAATTAAGAAGCATATGGCTCTCTTGATGATAAGCGGCCGACATAGCCTGTAGATTCTTGTGATACCGTACAGTACCACTCTCGTGTTCACTACCATTTTTTTTTGAGTGTGTATGCTGTTTGTCGCAGATGACCATTACAGCGTCACCGGGCTTGGGGACGGCGAGATCCTAAGGGGACCTCAAGCCGAGAATTGCCGAGTGCCTCTAGCACAGAGGTCAGCAGTCGTCTCTGAGACTCGGACCTCGGCTCTAGTTAGCCGTTTTCGTGGGAGTTCACTACCATAAGGCCGTTTGTCCACTGTCAGCTAGAACGAGATGACGGCGCCGAAGTAGCGACACATACATTTGCTATAGCCGCTTGTCCACTGCAAGCCCATCACATTGGCGTCGTCATGATCTCCGTCTTATAAAAAAAACCGTTCTCGTTGATGTTCTGGTGACGGCCGCGGTGAACAAACGGCTCAACCCCATCCCCAACCTCGTGGAGCTAATAGAACTCATTATAATTATTACATCTGGTAATAAACTTAATATGATTGTTAGTGAATTAATGAGATCGTAAGTGAGATTGTATGACAGACTACCTTATGAACCGTAAAAAGTAGTCAGCTAAAATTTTTAAAGAATATGAATTTTATGAATTGCTATGATGGAAAATTACGCGAAGCAATAGGTATATTGTTTTAAACTTTCATGGTCACTAACATTATAGCTATTAACCGGATTGTTACCGTGTACCTTGTTTTTTACTAGTCTCCGATATTTCGGCCCTGTTGCAAGCGCCATGATCACGAAGTAACTGAAGTGATTGCGGGTAGATGTTATTGGCAGACATATCGGTCTATCGGTCTAGTATATTACGCTAAACAATAAATCATTTTAAATACCAAACAAGACACCTTATTTTTAAATAAAGAATACTAATCACTTTTTGCTGATAATAATATTTTTTTAAAATGTTCTGACTGCCTTAGTAATTTAAAATTAAATTTAATACAAAGTATTTTCACGGGATCCTTATCAATTTCTTTAACGACTTTCCTTATTTTTCATTTAAATTATTAAATGAAAAACCTAGTCTAAAATAGGTATACAAAAAAAGAAATTATTTGATGTTTTGAAGCTTATCTATATTAAGAAATAGCAAGTAGCGAGTAGTGCGGAGGAGTCAAAGCGAAATACCTAATTATAAGATCTGTGGCCGCCCATTTGCTAGTTCCAGCTAGCTCCAGATAAGTTCTCATAGTACTGAATCTTATCTTAGATAGAGTTTTTGAAGCAAAATTCAAATGAAATATTATTTTATAGGTACCTAGGTAAATATATTAGTGATAACTAGAAGGCGAGAAAATAAGTATTTTTGTTTTATTTCAATTTTAAAAATTAAATACTTTTCTTCTTAGTAAAATGGAAGACTCCATGCGGTTTTTGTAAATTTTATCGTTATTTAGTATTTCACAGGATTTTTTAAAATTAAATTCTTAAGACCACGTGGATGAAGTGTGTTATACCACTTAATTAAATGTCAGCTTGGCTTAATCATTATGAAGTAGTAATTAACCCATTTGGCGCCTCTGTACGTGATTGGGTACAGTGGTAGTAAAACAATTTAGGGTAGTTGTGAGCCTTTTAGTAATAATTGAAGTTACCGTTCGCTATATAGTAAGAGATACAAAAAGTGCTTCGAAATAACAACAGTTTAAGTGGATATCTTTTTAAAATCTATTATTTTGAGGATTGTAATATAGGTTTGATTTGGCCCCGGGCCAGGATAAATGCCTTCATGGACTCACGGCGCGGTGCATGACGTCTGACTCACGTGAAATGTTCTCAAATGTTAGAGGTGGTCCACAGTTAATTTTTTTTTGATCAAAATTTTTTGTTTTTATTTTTTTATGATACATCATACAAAAATACATACGACCCTAAATTTTAACCCTTCTACCATCAACCCCAATTTTTTATGGCTGTACGAAGTTCGCTGGGACAGCTAGTACTTTATAAAGTAATATGAATCGCTGTTCATGCCCGTATAAAAATGTTTTATTAAACTTTAGGTGTTCATGAAAATATAAGTGTTATAGCCTGAGCAGACGAGGAACTTTTGTACGCCGTAATACATCGCTTAAAACTGCATGGAGTAACGCTGAGCCCGTGACAAGTCCTCGGCGGAAAAAAATTCATAGTACGCGGACTAAAGTCGGACATAAGTCCGTCGTCTGCGCAGGCCATTAAGGTCTGCTTTACTTGAGTTATGATTGTGAGTGCATGCGCATATGCCAATAAACATGGCGTCATTAGGACGAGGCGTAAAGCAGCAAACAGTAATCATGGGGCTACATAAACAAAAAATCTCGATAATTATCGTAACGATGGACATTTAACGTATAGTACGAGAGTGATCCGAGTGCAGTTGGGGTATGAAGTTGCGGGGCGGAAGCTCCCTTGCTGCGTATTAACTTGGGCTGTGTTTTAGAACACTAGCACATTCCTCAGAGCTGCATTAAGATCGCGCGCGTACTGTACTGATTATTGAATAATATCGCGATGTTGATTATATCATTGCGATAATTAACGGCATTTCCCGTTATTGTGGCCCCAGCATAAGAAAATGAGAAGGTCATTACTTAGATGAGGAGACATAAACGGACTAGCTGTTTTTTTAAATGGTCTCACCGAAGTAGAATGCGTGCAACGTTTTGAGTAAATTTATTAAACATTAGGGTTACGTGAAAATACAAACCTCAACTATGGCCTTCGGTATCCATGTGATGGAAACAAAGAGGCTTTCCTTCACAGACAGTTCATTGGCCAGACACACTAGGAACGCAGTGAGCAGTCGAAAGAACAGCGCTGCGAAAATACAGCCTAATATTAGACCGAACTCCTCGAGTGACATTTGTGATACCTGTCAATAAAATAACAACAAGTTTATAACCAGACCTGCCTTTATCACAGTACTCGCGAAGCTTATATAGTTTATGATCTGGATTGAGATATAGGTTCCTGTCGGATTCTCAAAAAACTAAAGATAACGAGGACGAAATCGTGGGTGATTCTGTATATACTCACGTCTAAGAAATATCCGCTTAAAGTAAAGAGCATAGGCTCAAATATCAGCCAAAGAACCTTGTAAACCTCGGATACTGGATTATTATTGTTCGGCCAGCCCCGTCGAGCCCATCGCGTCGCCGCTGTTGCAACACACACCATTATAGCAACACCAGCTGAAAAAATGTGTTTAATAAGAAATACTGGCCTGGCAAAAGAAAATCAAGGGAGAATAAACCTGCTAACCCTGAGGCTCAGGGAAAGTAAGATTTAACTGAGATGGAGAACTTGCCAACTTGACGGCTGCTCAGCCGCCACCCAGACGTTGGACGGTCGCACGTATCGACCGGAGAAAAGCCATCGCGTGAGGTGTCGACTGGTACTAACGCCAAAGAATTTAGTTCCACAATCATGGAGTTCGAAAAGGAAACACTGTTGTGGTCATTGCTAGTCGTCCATCAGCGGCGAAGACATCGACGAAAATGAATATATATCGTGTTCACCATGGGTTCACCCGATTATAGAAAACAGAAATGAAAGCCAATTTCACATATTTTAGTGAAAGTTGAGGATCCGATTTGATTTTTTTTTTCAATTACTTTAGAATGTGTATAAGTACATTTGATTTATTTATCTCTCCAGGTAAAAAATGATATAGGTACGACGTCAAGCCATTCGTAGCTGTCGGGCAGCCGCTGCGTGTGAGTTGTAGACTACGGCCTCGTACAGCTACTTTGTTGGTGCCACCACCGACACGCTGCGTCCCTTATTGGCAGACGCAGCAGGAAGTCATCCATGTGAGCTACTTACTGCGTTTCTATTACAAATTCATGACAACCGACTGCGGCCGGCTGTTTAGCAGTCGCACGTTGGAAAGTTGTCCGTCTTAGTTAAACTAAAGGGTACCATATCTTAACGAATTAAGTTCTGTGGTTGCTTTTCCTGAAAACCTAAGTAGGCCTGGGCAAAGGGCGGAAAAAAAATCAAAAAATACACAGCCTGTTTTCATCGTCATCAAACTTTTAATATCCTCACTGCTGGAACACAGGCCTTTCATTTGGATGCAATTGAGAATTTGGGATACGATCCACCACGCGGGTCCAGTGCGCATTGTTGGATACTAACAACTGCAGATACAGCCGAGACCAACGGCTTAACGTGCCTTCCGAAGCTCGGAGGAGCTCGAAACATTAAGGTTTTGATCACACATCGACCGACCATTACGAAAGTTGCATAACTTAAACGATCGCAGACAGAACGCGCGAACCACCTTTGCTATCGAGATCCTCTCATTACTAAATGTGAAAGGTTCTTTTAGTAAATTGTGATACGGAGAATAAGAGCAGGGATTGATTCTCATAAAAGAAGATTTTTTCTTGTGTCTAACTTAATTTCCTCCCAAATATTATTGGTTGTAATTGATGTCCTAATGTTTAATTATTTTACAAAGCATTCTAATAATGTCATAAAAAGTAACAAATGACACGATCTACAATACATATATAATCATATTATTACAAGTTGGTTTCCGTTCTTTTTGGGTATACTAGGTATGTGGTTTAATAATAAATGGATATTTAAAACTAATATAAACTTTCAGATCAGTCTACTGTGAACAAAAATAGCTCGACAAATTAAACGCTAAATAGCTATTCTAAAAATAAAACATGCAATCAGAGGCTTTCAATAAAGTTCGCGTAAATCTTGAAAAATTACTATCAAATTGGCTCATTTGTTTTGTCGCCTCTAACGAATACGCGTCATAACTTATTTATGTATTGTTGTATGTTTTATCTTTACCCACAACGAGAGATGTTGCTGATTGAGCTCAATTGAAACGAAGGCTACAACAGACGGCGCAGCAATTAGAGCAGCGATTCATAATAACTCGAACACTTGCCCCTATTGACATTAGGTTATTTCAATACCAAGAAGTTCAAGAATTACTTTAAAGCTGTTTATCATTTTTCTTGCCTTATAAAATAATATTCATTATTGTAATACACCATACAAGACGCAAAAGTAAATAAAAACACGATAGACAGAACTTATTATATTACTGGCAACGGAACCCTACGTTTGGCAGTCGGTTTTTTTTATTTAATATTCAAAAAGAAATGAAATGTCAATCCTCATCAAAAATAATAAAAGAATTTTATGTTTTTATTTTAGTTTAACCCTAGAATATTAACCTTCGTCGATTCGACGACGCACATAAAATCGCATAAACTTATACGCGCGCGATCGCATCTTTTTAAAACGTACACATTATAGGCGGTTTTCAAAGTTTTAATTTATTTTAACTATTTATTAAACTTCACGTTGTGACCCTTTAGACCATGGATCACAAAAAGTATCAAAAACTTTTAAAGTCACAACCTGAGATAGATAAATATGCAATAATTCGAAGTAATGACTGATCTGAATAGATTATTTCGTAGTACGGATTTAAAATAAGAATGAAATCACAATGCAATGGAATTTTGTAAAGTATTTTTGTATCGAGTTTTTTCTGACTTATAAAGTGAAAAATAAAAAACGTCCTTCTACAACTAGGAATCGACCAGGTAGCCCGCGTAGCAGGCGAGTTTTCTACCACTGAATCACCGATGCTTGAAAATTAGGTCTTATATTTTTTATTTTATAATTAAAAATGTAATGAGAATGCGAAAGATCAAAAATAAAACAATTTGTGGTTTTTTCGTAAATCTTTAGCATGTCGCAAAAGTAAAAATTTCACTTTATAAATGATATTTTTTAAGGAATCGACGGCGCGTGTTAGTAAATGTATTAAACACTGTTGACTGACACTAATACTTTTGTATTAACAATGTGGACTTTATGCAGTTATGATTTTATACAACGTGAAACTTTAGTCAGTGCAGTTTGGTTATGAATGAAACTTTTATTGAGTTAGTAGATTTAGTAGAACGGAACATACTCTAACTACTACTCTCTCCGAACTACGTATGTTCTAACTACTATTACTCTAACTTATTAGTTTTGCCAATGACAAAGTATATGACACTAACCAACTCTTGTTTAAATTTTACAATATTTGTTTTTTATAGCCTTTAGAGAAATTGAAGAATAGTTGATTTTGAGTTCGTTTTTAGGGTTCCGTAGTCCTGATAAGGAACCCTTACAGTTTGTCATGTCCGTTTGTCCGTCCCCGATTTTGCTTTGAGACTATTAGCATTAGAGAGCTGTAATTTTGTGGAGATATGTATATCGATTACACCGACAAAATGGTAGAATAATTGCCAACCATCCTGGGGATGTTTTTTCTTCATCATCTACCCCATCATGTAGGATATCGTTAAAATACTTAGAGGTTCCTAAGACTATTTTTCGATTTAGGGATCTGTATGGTGCGACCGTACCGGACCGTCTTAAGGTTACCCGAACAGAATCCGTTTGCGAAATATTGAACTTTATTGTTGTTCGAGTAGGCCACCCCTCCCCCACAAAAGCTTGTAAACCACTTGAAAAGATCGATAGTTATCATTTGTATAAAAAAAATATAATATCGAATTGATTTTGAGTTTGAGATGCAGTTTTACTTTAATTTAGGTATTTTAGTTGAGATACATAGATTGATATTAATTGGGTTTTCTAATTTCCCATATCGAAAATAAAGACTCTTGCTCAAATATATTGCGGAACGCTACACTTCGCGTGGCACGACACGTACTTGATCGGTTCGGAACCTCAAATTTCAAAACTCAATTTTATATTTTTATTTTTTTTAAGGTCCCCGCAGTATTTTGCTAAAACTCAATATAGTATAAAACTAGCTTCACCCATAGAAAAAAGCCAATGTCAATTTGACATTTTTGTACGGGTTATAATATCTAGTTTAAATCGAGATTAGAAAATTTTCTCTTGATTGAATTAAAACTAGATTTAGAGCATAGAAAAATAATGTCAAAACGTCAAAGTCAATTTGACATTATTGTGTGGACTAAATCAAATTTCAGATAAATTGAGACTTAGCAAAATTGCTGCAAGTGGGCTTAAATGTTTAAATACTGCGGTTTCATTTAAAATAAATAACTCGCTGTTGTCATTATATGTTTTAAGAAATATGTTAAAATGATGCGCTCATTGTAAATAAAATGTAACATTTGTAATCGTTTAAGTAAATATAAATTTAATTAGTCTTTACATTGTACTGTCGCGTTATTTAAATATATACGGCGGTTGGTTCTATTGACTAGTGATAATGTTTTTAAACATAGTGCAAACATAATATATCTATGGCGCTAACTTAGGGCAGTGCACAGAGAGAGAGGCGCAGCGATGAAATTAAGCGCGGCGACTACGAGCTCGGCCTAGAGCCACGGAGCAGAGTAGTCGCGCGTTGGCTCTCATGGCCGCTTCGCAGCGCTGTGCGCCGCTTGTGTTTCATTCGCTTTCGTTTCGCTTCATGTTTGCCAAGACTTTTTTAAACTTAATTAGTTATTAATTAAGTTTTAACTTAAATTGTTGTTATCTCAGTATCTTCGCCTTCTTCGCGCCAGGCTGCGCCTTTATTTTCTACGTCATATAGAGCGTCAATTTCTCTGTGAATTTACAAAATAAACATTGCCACGGGCAGCTTCCTGAATATTGCCTGAGAGAGCTACCGGGCAAAGTCAAGAAAACTACAAGTGTGAAAAATAAAAGAAGTTGTAGGTTGAACGGTCTATATTGAAATAAAATCTAAATCTTATTATAACAAATTAAAACAAAAGTATCTCCCGATAGGGGTCACTTCAATTAGTTCAACAGTTGGTATGTGTTGGGCAGCAAAAGGTAAAAGTTACAGTCATATACAATAAAATCTATGCCTAAATGGAGATACCACGGTTCATACTCTTACTTAACTAATGAAAAGGCAAGATGCACCGATTTCATGTGTTCCTCTTTGGCACCGAATACTGATGGGAGCATATTAAGTGCTCCTCCCAGATCGTCAAGAGTTCAAAGGTGGTGGTCGGCAATTAGCCCGTGCAGGTGACGCGGCCGTGGTAGACCTCGACCTAAAGGTACAATACCAAGCCATCAACAAATGTGATGAATTTATAATTTCCCGTTACTGAAACAAAAGCGTGTAGGATTTATAACTTGAAGGTTCTTTGGAAAACCTATGCCGCGTGACTTAGGTGAGGATGCTTACCAGGTTCTCGCTGAA